GGCTTGTAGATGTGCTTTCTTGAGCAGGGGGAGCTTGTGGGCACAGCAGGATTTCAGTCCTTTACGGCGTAGTGTGTTACCAACTGTTTTTTTGGTGACTCTGGTCCCAGCTGCCTTGAGATCATTGACAAGTTCCTCCCGAGTAGTTCTGGGCTGATTCCTCACCGTTCTCATTATCATTGAAACTCCACGAGGTGAGATCTTGCATGGAGCTCTATACCGAGGGAGATTGGGAGTTAATTTATGTTTCTTCCATTTGTGAATATTCGCACCAACTGTTGTCACCTTCTCACCCAGGCGCTTGGCGACGGTCTTGTAGCCCATTCCAGCCTTGTGTAGGTCCACAATCTTGTCCCTGACATCCTTGGAAAGCTCTTTGGTCTTGGCCATGGTGAAGAGTTTGGAATCTGGATTGATTGATTGCTTCTGTGGACAGGTCTCTTTTATACAGGTAACGAGCTGAGAGGGCTCCCAATGTCAGCTCGTTACCTGTATAAAATACATCTGGGAGCCAGAGATCTTGCTGACTGATAGGGGATCAAATACTTATTTCATTCATGAAAATGCAAATTAATGTGTAACTTTTTTTGTAATGCATTTTTCTGGATTTTTTTGTTATTGTTGTGTCTCTCACTGTTCACATAAACCTAACATTGAAATTGTAGACCGATCATTTCTTTGTTAGTGGGCAAACTTACAAAATCAGCTGGGGTTCAAATAATTTTTTCCCTGACTGTATGTTTTGGCCTGATGGTTCAGACAGCTGTTCAAAAACCCTATATAGCCTATGGGTGGTGGGAGGTCTACATTGTCATTTTTCACTACTTTTTGATGCTTAATTAAGAATTTAGTAAAATAATGATTAGTTGCAGCCCTAGATTTAGTTCACATTTGGCCCATATACAATAAGCATAGGCCTTTAGGAGCTGTAATGGCAAATATATACCAGCGGGTGGCAGCAAAGCTATGCGGAGCAGCATAGGAGTTTATTTGGGGGCGCGGCTTGCTCATATAGCCACGCCCCGAATTTTACTTATCGTGAAAACACCTGTGGTGGTGGGATAGTTTAGGTGTGCTGGATATCAGTGGCTTCGGAGAATTTGGAGTCACTATAGCGGGATGTTAGTTAGTGTGACCATGTTTGATAAAGCCATCGTAGGCTGGCTGTTCCCTGAGTGAAGGTACTTCCATATCCAACTCACCTACAGCTAAAGAAATCGAAAAAACACTAGTGAAAGGTGCAGAGCCAGCCTGCCAAACCAAGCCCGTATGGCGCTGCCAGTCACACGATTTAACCTGGTTCCTCAATATCAATATCAAGCAGCTAAAAGGGGCAGGATTCGGCTAGTCACTAAATGAAATGATTTGGGATAAGGTGGAACAGCAGCAACATCTCAATAACAGCCCTTAAGAAGAAAGAGGATACAGTGTTGACGTTAACTGCTGGCAACAGTTTTTTAGGACTTCTGCTGATTGGAACAGACTGAGGTCTGATGATGTCCCTGGTGTCTACACAAGAAGTAATTTGCACCAATGGATTTATCCATGGAAAAATTAAAGACCTTTCTGGGAGAAAAATAACTGAGATGAACTTCTGAAGGTAAGAGCATTTTGTTTTTGCGCGCTATTGCTGTTATTTATTTGCTTTTATTTTTATAGAACTGGCCGTGATTTAAGTGTTTGTTGATGCTGAAGTTGCATGAATTGGGAATGTCTGAAAAATGTTGATGAATGTTGTATTAACTAACTAAGACTTTCATCTCTAAAGGAATGCCCCTGGTTGGTTAAGATGGTATCACCTGCTACTGTTGTTACATGCAGCTGGTAGCTACTGTATGTGAGCTTGTTGGCACTAATCTAGATTGAGTTTCTTTTGCCTAGCTGTGTTTGTATACTGTGTGTGTGTCTGTATTTTTGCCTGGAGTTGATGTGAAGACGTGTATACTTTTGTTTGATAGTGGCAGCATTTGGATTTTGCTCTGGATATTCTGTATTTGACCTATAGTGATCACATCATATATTCTATCACCTTTTGTGGAAACCTAGTGTCATTTGCCAGGCAAGTGAAAGTTGCCTGACACATGCAGTATAGCCTAGTTTATTGTAATTGAGTCTCTTAACTGGGCACCCATCCCTCCACAAACTGTATGCTGTGTTTTGATATTGCTTTAAGAATGAAATATTGATGTTTTTGGCTAGTAAACAAATTATACACATTTTTGTTTAATGGCCAGCAGTGTTTCAGAGGTTTGTAGTCATTTTATCAGCTACCACACATTGGTAACATTCTCTCCCAAAGGTCGTTTGTTTGCTTGACATGACTCATTTTTGTATTACATACCACATGAGACAATTTTTATTTCCTAGGGCCCCTTTTATGAAGAAGAGATTTGCTGAATTGATAAGTCACAAACACTTTAACTCAAACATCTCAGTCAACAAAGAAGCACTTATTTCCATTTATCCACAGTGATGCATTGGTGGATTAAATGAGAAACATTAGCAAACAGTTTATTTTACACAGCATGTTGCATTGGTTGAAAAATTATTCTCGTTCGTGCTTGGTGTTAAGTGGCTCTATTTGCCTATTATTGGATGGAATACATCCTTCTGACATTTTTATTTTAGTTACATCACCCGTAGTGACACAAAGGAGATTTTTACCAGCTCTGAGGACATGTGCTTTAAGACATTGTTCCTTCTGGCTTGGTATGTAGCAAGATGCCAAAATGGTCTAAGCTAAGACTAGTTGAGAGCTCTGGAGAACAAGCCTTGTGAGTTACTTACTGTAAGTACAATGTACAGTCTAATACAGGTTTTGTTCACCTTCTCGGCAGGTCAGCGATTTATCAATTTAATGCTGTTAATTTATTTGACTAAAAATATATTTACTGAAGAATGCGAGGATGTGCAGTGTTGTTAGCAAATGTGATGTAGTTATGTTGTACCTGTTACACAACTAGGTGTTGCCTCTTGCTGTTTAATGTGTTTACCTGTGTTTGCTCACAAACAATAATACAAATGAACCTCCTTGCTATCTAATAAAGAAACAAGTGGCAACAGAGCTTTCTGTGCCCACTCTTGCAGTTGTGTTGATGAGCGCTGCGCTGTAAAGGTCCTGCTGAGTTGTCTGGCAGCTGTATGGTGTTAGCTAGCTGAGGCTCGGTCAGTGTGGCCACTGTAGCAGAACTGATGACGTTCAGGGCATGGGTTACTCTAATTAAACATGCTTCCAACAAAATCAACACAAGAACAGCACTACCCTGTTCTGAGTACAGATGCATTTCTCCAGTGGCAGTAAATGCTGAAAGATTTTCCAGACTGGAAGTTAGCAACAGTATTTTTACACCTCCAGGGCATTTGTAGGCCACCAGTTAAGCACCCCAACTTCCTACAGTGAACAACACACAAGCCATTCCTATGATAGCATATGTGTGTTGTCTTGCACAAAACCAGGATTTGGTTTTGTCTAGCCAGTCATTAAATAGCGACAGACAGGAGTAGATACTCTCAGGTGTAGAGGTGCACCTGAGTTATAACTTAGTGTATGTCTATTGTATATACCCACAAAATGCAATGCAATCAGGCAAGTAGACTCAGCTAGCTAGGCCTAGGTGTCATCCATCAGGCAGCTCAGTAATTTTTTCTCTCTTTTTCATTTCTTTCTATGGACAAGCAGATAATGGTGGATATGCAGGAGCTGAAAATGATTGAGTTCTTTGATCCAGGATTTTTTAATCTTAGCCTTTTGCATTGTTGGTCTGGCAAAGAAACTTTGCAGGATCACAAGGGTATGGGCTCAGATGAAAACTTTACTTGCTACAAATTTGTGTAAAACCCTTTTTGTTCTTTCAAGCATTTTTCTTATTTCTTACTGTCTTTTGTTGGACTGGAAGTGAACTTGTGGCAACATGTGAAAATTATAAAGCGCATGATCCGGATTTTTTTCTTTATGACGGAGTAAATGGTAAATGGACTGTTTTTATATAGTGCATATTTAACAGTGTGTTACACTGACCAAAGCGCTTTTACTGGAGATCATACACATTCACCCATTCACACACACATTCACACACCGATGACGAGAGGCTGCCGCACACTGGCGCCAGTCGAACCACCAGGAGAAATTTGGGGTTCAGTGTCTTGCTCAGGGACACTTAGGCATGCAGGGAGACCGGGAGTGGAACCACCAACTTGCTGGTCAGAAGACGACTGCCCTACCAGTAGTTTTATTGGATTGTATTAGATTCTACAGGTTTACGTAATCAAGTGGCCACTGAGGATATTTCCATAACTATATGTAGGAGTGGTATGAGGGTGAGCTCTAACTCGTCTATCATGCGGTAGTCACAGCACAGTAGGCAGATCACACCATGTTGAAATAATACATTTTCCAGTGTTAAAGCTTAAATACTCCATGGTTTAATGTAGGGCTGGACCCAATTATTCAACTAGTTGAATATTAATTTCTTGGGTAAGTAATAGGTTTTTAATTTTAGTATTTGAAGACAGCAGGAAATTTCAATGCAGTCTGAGATTGATGATAAACGGGAAAGAGAACACGATGGAGACAGCTTGGTCTGCTAGCTGGTAGGATACTTGGATGCCTGAAAATGTAGGAGCACATTTCCAATAAATCATCCAATCAATCAATCAATAAATGACAAGTGAGATGTTGTTAAAACACAAACGACACCCCTTTACTGTAGTAAGGTAGACAGACAATGAGCTACAGCCTAGTTTTCATCTAAATGAGCTGTTTAGATGAAATAGCATATGTGCAGTGGGTGTGAGACGTCTACAATGTGCAACACTGAAAAAAGGTGCTACAAAATATTCAATAGCTTCACTCTTGGACACGTTTTTCCCTGAACTAAATCTTGTGGTATAACCAACAGGAGACTAGTGATGCATTAAGTGATTTTGGTGACACGAGAGTGAATATTTTTGTAGTATCTCGGTGTTGCACTTTGTAGACGGTCCCTCTGCCCTCTTCTTGTTCAGGATAATCACCTTTATTTGGCCAAGTATGTTACACACAAGGAATTTGTTTCCGGTACAGAACCGAGGCAGCCATCTGCGGCACCAACTCAAACGATGGCTCTAACCATCAGGGGCAACTTGGGGGTTCAGTGTCTTGCCCAAGGACACTTCGACACATGGACTGCAGGCACCAAGATTCGAACCTCCGACCCTCCTGTTGGGAGACGACTGCTCTACCCACTGAGTCATAGTTATGCCTGAAGGAAGCCGTGAGGGCCATAACGCAGACATGCCTTTCGCCGTGTTTAACAGACTGATGAAGCCGTAGTGATACTTTTCTCACAATCTGAAAAGGGCTGTACTCTATGTTGCAGCTGAGAATGTAAATGTCAATGTTCAACTACTATCACCCACCCCCGCAGTGAATTTTCTGAAACTGATACTTCTAAGCAGTGAAGGCCAAAAATGACCAATTGACAGCCCCAGTTTGATGTCACTTCTTCTATTTTCTAAATCCACTTTCATTTACTGGTCTTGTCCTTAATGGCTGTGCTATAGACCTTTTTCTTTTTTGTCATCAAGTTTATTTCTGACTATTTACTCAAGTTCTGTTGCTAGGCACCCAGTTGGTTATGTCTCCAGGTGTATTTTTCCAGTGAAAGACTTTGATTCTGCTCCGACAGCATGTGTAAAAGCCTGCGTCGTAACAGAGGCAGGATCCTCACCCAATGAATAGCTGGAATTTTTGGATCAAAGTGAGCCCACAGGAACGATGCTGGTCTGTCACGATTTTGGCATAGTCACCACAGTTGGACCTGGAATCCAGAAACCCTTTTCCACATCAACTTAAAAAGAAATGGCTGTACAACCAAGCAAGAATTTAATGTGTGCAATTTCTGGGCATTGCACACTTCAAAAAATGTTCAGAGTTATCTTTGTTGGACTATTGGGTCCAGTATTCTTCTTCAATTAAATTATTTTTTTAAAAATTAAAATTTTGTTATACAATAGAAAACAACAAGAAACATTTCTCGATTTATTTTGTGCAACAGTGAAGCAAAAAGGCTGTTTTATGCAAGATAATCACAATGGCAAAGTGGATCAGTGAACGTTGTCAGTGCGACCTTGGGTTAAAAATAGTCTTTTTATGTCTACATGTCCTCAGGTGCATTAACATTATGAAGTGCTCCTGGTGGCTGAAAACATTTAAATATTCGCACTTTGTTCATGTTGACAGTGAAATGAAGCTGCCTGAATTCTATCCAAACTTTTTTTTTTTTAAGATCCAATATTCATTTTACCATAGATAATCCATTCACTCATTCATAGCATTGTTAAAATAGTAATAACTGTAGGTCCTCTTTCCTAAAACTGAGCAGTATTAAGAAATAACTACCAGACCCCAAAATGTCTGTGCTGTGTGTGAAAGGTGAGAAAAGAATCACAGTATATTAGGTATGTAACGATATTTGTAATTTCGCAATATCACGATAAGAAATTTTCTCTACCTTTGTTTACAAGATCATCTGCTGCAATAATATGTTTTCCTTTCATTCCATAAAAGGACTGTCACTGCTTATCTTTTATTATACAAAAAACACTGATTTATTATTTTGT